AGCTATTTCCACAGAAAATATATATGTTGATGCTTTTTCTCCTCCCTTCCTTTTACTATTCCAAAGCCATCCTGTGACTCCAAAGAACAAGCTGGGCACCTTTCACTACTAACAAGTACTTTAATGAGCAAGAGCTGGAGCGATTAGCAACTGAAACCAGACAGTCCTCAATCTACCCAAAAAGTGAAGGCTTTACCAGCCACAGAGGTCCAACAGAGATGACTTCTGTATATACACATTCATTATGCATCAGTCTTCCACCTAGCAGAGCAAGCAGACACAGAGAAAGCCATGACTTTACTCTTTTGTTATCTGCAGCCTCTGTCCTGCCACACAACTAATTTACGCTCTAAGTTCTGCTCAGTGAAGCACAGCAAATTATGCACACAAGCAAAAAACATTTCCAGAGAGTAGATATCAAGTAAGCTTCATTCATATATTTGCATGCAAAACTAGCACCACAGCGAACAACGAAGATATTAACACCAAGACACATTGAAAAGATACACCGAAGGCATCTATTCAGAGGGCAAAGAACCACCAGCTTTTCATGAAACAATCACTTAGTGACAGCTGAAAATTAAAACTACAAATCTGAGAATCTTCAAAAGTACCCAGGAATAGAATCATAGAATTGAGTTGGAAAGGATCCTTAAGGGCCATCTAGTCCAACTCCCCTGCAGCGAACAGGGACACCCACAGTTAGATCAGGTTGCTCAGAGCCCCATCCAGCCTGACCATGAATGTCTCCAGGGATGGGGCTTCCACCACTTCTCTGGACAACCTGTTCCAGTGCTTCACCACCATTATTGTAAAAAGCTTTTCCCTTATGTCCCATCTGCATCTCCCCTCTTAATTGGAAGACATTTCCCATTATCACAACAGACCCTGCTTCACAGAAAGAAAAACAGAAGTCCCAATCAAACGTCCTTGTGTAACTACATACTGAGCATCAAAATTCAAGTAAGATCTGAGTTTTCCAAGCAGCTGGTAGAGGTGCAGCACAAGGCCCACAAGCCTAGCGGAGCCAATGCTGCAAGCCTCCACTCAGAAAAATTCTGAGTAGCCTGAAGTGTGTGTTCCTATGCGGGACTGCAGCTTTATGAGGACTTCAGCTAATGCCAGCTGCAGTACAAACCTTGCTCAGTAAAGCAGAAAGAGCCTGCTGATTTCTTTATAGCATCAGTTTGATAATGTTAAAGATGGTCTTTACAAAAAGCTGGAATGCAGTCATTTAGACTTTTATTCCAGGTGTATGGATGACCTCAGTTCTTAGCAATCATTTTCTACAGTTATGATGGTTAAAAAGGTGACATCTGAACAAGTAACATTACATATAGCAGTTCTGTTTTTAAGATACTGTTCTTTCAGGCTACAGAAATATCTTCAGATTAAATTCTGTTATAGAAAAGGGTTTAATGTCTTTTAAATTCTGCACGATGGGCAGTTTAATAAATATTGAACCTGGCATGGACTAAGTCGATCACACAGCGAGAACATCATCTGCAAAAATAATAAAAGCTTGTTACCACTACAGCTATGTTTTTCAGTCATAAAAAAGTATTTATCAAGCAGGACTATTTACAGATGGCATACATCTGTATGGTGTACAGAGATGATTTTACCCTCTCAGATCTCTAGTAAAGCATCCTAAGCAAGAGTCACTGCTGCAGAACAATTTTCAGCTACCTCCAGGAAGCAACGGGCTCTTTCCTCTGCAGCAATATAGCGCAATAAATGCTAGGAACTGAGAGAGGACCCTCCCACGTCACAGCTCCATCAGATCTTCTTAGTAACCAATTTGGATTATGCCTGTTTGATGGCTGTGTTTCAGATTTTATGTGGCTTTCAGCCTGGAAGCAGCTAGGCCAGCTGAGTATTGTACTGTGGGCATTTCTGCTGTGGATAGCAAGGCTGCTTTGCTTTTCCTTCCAAATACTTATTTACATAAGCAGGAAAACAATTTGGAGATCAAAAGCAAAACCCTGCATCTAGAACAGGTATAAACATATTGTCATGAGGCTGCCCAGGTGAAACAGGGAAACAACTCTGAAAACTGACTGCATGTGCAATTTTGCTTAGACATTTTTTCTTCTACATGCACTCATCATTTCAGCTGAGGGAGGATGGCAAAGAGAGGAGTTAAATTAATACAGTCTATGAGCAGTTCTGGAAGTCTTTAAAATGCTTACTGTGTGAGAGCTGTATCCTAATTGGTGCTTGGAAAGAAAATGAATAAAATGGCATTTCTTAATCACGCCACAAAATGTTAAGGTTAAGGGAGAGGGCTTTATATAACTCATGAAAATCAGTTTAAGCCAAAGTGTGGAGGTAATAGAATATCTACCCCCCAAAAAATTGATGGTTTATTTTAAAGGGACATTTAAATGCATTTTTCCAGTATATATTTGAAACGTTCACAGTACAAAATTCTAATTTTCTTTAACTGAAGGTAAAAAAGATGAAAAATATTTTTGTCAAGGATCACTTCTAAACAAAATGAATAGAAATAGAGAGAGGAGTAATGATTCTACAGTTACACTGCACATCCTAATATATGCTTACATTCAGCAAAATATATCTGCATTACTGACATATTCTACTATATTACACATTATTCAACTTGTATTACAAATCCTACTACTGATTTGAAACACTCCATGCAATTTCCTTTTCCTATGTGTATGTTGACTCAGATGTTTGTATATTTGTTATCCCTGATGTGCCAGCACTGTGATAAATTCTAAGAAGCAAGGGCATGATCTAAATCCAAACGAGAAGTTCTTTCAACTGTGAAAAATTACACTTCTTTTAATGCCGGATCTTGAAAAGCATAGTATTGTAATTACCAATTGGGGCATCATAATAAAGAGAAAAATGTACTCAGCTGTAGGTAGAACTACTACATTCAGCCTCTAGAGGTAAGAGAGGAACAGCCTAAGAAGCACCTCAGTCATAGCAACAAGGATTCTCTTCCATTCAAAACCCTGTAGCAACAGCAAATATAGGCTATAGGACATGAAGAACTTTATAGGCATCATATTTTTATTTATTTCCTAAAGGCAGAGATCAGACTAGAATGTATGTTATTCAGCACCTTTTCTCATATTTTTCCCCTAAAAGCACTGACATTGCAAAGACTCACAGTACAGCCATGCCATGCTTTGCTGATGCAGGTCTTCCTGCTTTGCTGGCTTCTGCCTACTGACCAACACATCAGAGCTGAACCGAGGATGCTCTGCAGCTTTCAGGATTCATTTCCTATTAAACATCAAAATAAATCCTAGCGTCACGGACTTTGAAGTCCAAAAAGGCCAACTGGAGTGTCTGCTTTGATGAGTTCAACAACACAGACCATTACACTTCATCCAGTAGCTCATGCACCAATTTTTCCAGTTCAGGTGGAGCAAAGACACTCCTCCTGAACTGACCTAACCTGATTCTTAATAGTTCATTAAGTGCTGGCATTATGCGTGGCAAAGACTTTCTTCTGCTTGTAGAACACCTCCCATAATACAGCTCTGATACTTAGTAGAGCATAATGTTCTTCCAAAAGATAAATAAATAATAAGGTTGTCATATCTGACTTTCCTATTTTAATGCCTATTTCATGATCCCATTTTCCCTTTCTTAATTAAAGTTCACAACTACATGACAAAGCATCTTCAACTTGCCTGAGTCTTTTTGTTTCAGCTAGACCCAGCATCCCATGACATTTTCACTGTGCCTATCATTTTTGCTTCAAGGGATATAAGGAGTTCATACATCTTCCTGCTGGCTGCAGCCTGATCACCAAGTCCTGCTCTCCATCAACAGATGACAGATCAATAGCTGGAGACAGGGAAGTTGTGTCAGCATAGATCTACATTTTATCTACCCTAAAACCACTTCTGAAATCTTCCAACACTTCTTCTCCGTTAACAAGTCAGTGCTTACCCATCTATGTGCTTATTTCCGAGCTACAGTTCACTCCTGAAGTTATTCCAAGCATTTTTGTTCCTATTTTCCAATTGATTTACCTTCATACATACAAGTTCATGTTCCTTGGGGGACTGAATTGTACCCACTGATCACAACCTCTGTCCAATTCAAATGCCCTAAATCCTCCAGCATTTAAGGGATTTAAACAAATCTTAGCAAATGAGCGTGCTGAGGGACAAGCTATGTTCCTTTTGAAGAATTCTCCACATTTAATTACGGTACATTTAAGACCATATGTTGTAAAGAAGAGCACTTTCCACATGAACATCATGGCTGAACAGAGCAGTCTTTTGGTGACGGACAGTTGCATGCATCCTCTCAGAAATGCAACCATGTATTCTCTTAACACCATCTTTATTGACCCAGAACACACAAGTATCTCACCGAGAACAGTTTCACACTGTCAAAGTTTGAGCTTCTTGAAGACACAAAGTATAACAGAAGTTTAAAGAGCCACTTGGAAGGAGGACTAAGAGAGCAGGTTTGCAAACAGATCTATCTGCAGCCTTTTACTTTAGAAATACATGTTCTTGTCAAGCTGTAAAAGAGTAGAGTTTGTTTCTTTTGTACTTCTTTCTTGACTACTGCATGATCATATCAGACTCACTTGGTTTTGTCTTCTAACTAGATGTAATTTTGAAATAGAATTACAACAATGCAGGAAAAGCTTTTCTAAATGACTGATTTACATATTCATACTGATTTTGCCTTTCCAATCTCAAACAGCTCTACAATCAAGGAACAAGTGATTCTTATTTAAATTACATGGCAGTTAGTGTTCAAAAGCTCTGGAAGACAAATAACTCCTCAGTGTCCAGCTGCTGAGAGGGAAGATTCTCATTTTGGGTTTTTACCAATAAACAAATTAAAAATATTCTGCTTTCAAATTCAAGATGGTAAAAAATTTGAAAATAAATTGCCTTAAATTGCTTTTTAATAGGACAAAAAAGAAAAACATTAATTACATTTTGTAAGCTACTTATAACTGTATGCACTAATTTGTATGTACTGCTATTTTATTTTATTTTTTTGCAATTCACCTGGCAGGTAACAAAAGGGAAGAAAATAGAAAATACAGTTCAAAGTCATTTGAGCTGAGACATAAACCAGCAGTAAACTAGTGAAGGTCAAATAATGTTATGTTCATTGCATTCTAGATTAAGATTTATCCACTTAACACAGGATAAGTGAGATTATATTCTTCCCTGTAACAGAGACCTATTTTAAATTCTACGTTTGAATTACTAAAAATAATTATATTCTACTAATGTAACAATCAATGAAGATATATAAACAGGGAGCCCCCATTCCCAATGTAACAGATTTCAGAGTAAAGGTAAGGAAAGTGCTAAGAATTTTAATTGCAATGTGATTAAAGTGACAATGTCATCATTTAGGAGAGTTAGGGCAGAAGAAATTCAAAATTAGAGCACTGTCACCACTTACAAAGGCACTTCAAAACCTTCAGGTGAAAATCCTTCAATCATCTGTAGATTCCATAGAATCCTTCACCATCAATGGAGTCCAACAGTCCCACACATCAGTGGAGTGCTGTCTGGTGCTTCACCAGCATCACTGTCTGTAACTCCTTGCTGCTTCAATCTTCAGTATCTGGAGTGCAGCCTTTTTCAGGATGGATTTCTACAACTCCTTTGAATATATGGTATTCAAGGAGTAAGATTCTGGTACTTTACACAGAGCAGTCATTAATTAAATCAGGAATAATTTAAGGAACAGTGCACCCTACTAGTCAATCCCTTTCTAACAACAAAAGATATATTTTTTTTTAACACCCAGTGTTGCACCAGGTATGTGAAAGTTACATGCCCTTAAATGAACATACAAGAAGCAAAGACTGAAGGTTTGTCCAAAATCTTCATAGTAATAAAAGAAAAAGTCCAATTACACCATTAATAGTTTGAATCAGTCAGCTGCTGCAAAGAATAAAACCTCTAGCATAATACAACTACACAGGTAACATGCACACTCTAGCTAGGTTCTACCTCAAGCACATTAACAAGTTCTTGAAATTCAGTGCTGAGGTACACGAATTAGGAAGCTGATTTCCTGCAGCTTCTTGTGTAGAAAACATGTTCACTGCTTCAGAAGGTAGTTAAGATCAAGGAAGAAGTCTCACTTAATTGCCATATAAAGACAGCTAAAAATAAAATACTGCAATTTTTTATCTTGCAATTTCTTTATTAATAATATACAAAAATGACCACAAAATAGGATAAAATAATTATACATCTTAAACAAAACCAAAAAAGGCAAGTCAGGCAAAAGGCACCTAAGAAATGGGAAGGAATTTCCCATTTCCCATCCTTCAAGATACCCTATCCAATAGTATTCTACAGCAACAACAGTAAGCACTGCATGTGATTACAGCCTCAGCATCATTCTTCCTTTTCCATCAGCCTATACTAATTGCTAAATGCTTGTGTCTTCTAGGTAGTGAAGTGCATGTTTCTTAGTAAAAGCATTAATTCAGTTAAGAACAGAAAAAGAAAAAAGCTACCATAGTTGCTTAATCTTCAGTGAAGTATGCCTCCAGTCCCTCCAGCTCTGCATCAGTGGTCATATTTGAAGTGGTGGGAGTAGAATTTGAATTCACGCTTTCCTGACTATTATTTCTTTGCTGAGAGTTTCCCAAATGACTCGGTTCCTTCTTCACTTCTCTACCACCACTTAATATCCTTTGACTTTCTGCAAAATACTGATTAGGATGATTCAAAGAAAATCCAATGTCATCAACCTACAAAAATGAAAGGAAAAGTTACTATTCTTATTTTTAAAAATCATTTCAATTCATATTCAAGAATAACTATTAATTTAATAATTTCAAATTTTGTTGAATGCAGTGGTTTGTCAATACTAGCCCAATAAATATAACCCTGACTTTTTTTTTTTAATCACACAATTTCTTTCCTCACATTAGGAATAAAATGATTGCTTTGGCATAATCGTCAAGCAGTATTTTTAATTGTCTTTCCTGTATTAAAAATAAACAAACAAAAAAGCAATACAGGTAAAATACCATACATTCAAAGATTCAAAGATTTAGGACAACTGAATCAATACCTAAATGCAGCATCTTCTTACACAAGAAATGAACCATGCTAAGTCTAAAGCACAAATGGAAATAGAGAAAATAAGTAAAAGTTTTTACAACAGCAGAAAAAGAACCCAGAGCTTAAAGTATCAACATGAAGCACAATGAACAGAAACCAGCAGCTTCATCTTTTTTTTTTTTTTTTCCCCCAATAGTAATAAATTCACTGTTTACAGAACAACAGGCTAAGCAAGTCCAGTAGGTTAAGCTCCAGTGCTAAGCATCAGCATCCCGAAACTCCACCATCTGCAAAACCAATACCACAAAACAGCTAGGTGCCTTTTCAGTGCAAAAGAACAGAATATTAGCACAGAGAGCACTGTATTTGTATTGTTCTTTTCTACTTAGCCAACATTCTTTCAGGTCCATAATTATTTGACTAATGCAAATTAGATTAACGTTCATGAAATACTTCACCAGGGCTTCAGTTTTAAAAGTAAAACTGACACATTCACCACAATCTCTGATGTAACCTTTGTATTATACAGCAGCGGACGACACCTGAAGGTCTCAGCCCATGGATACCCTCAGAAGCAGCCCAGGCCAGAGCTACAGCCCAAGAACAGCCCACGGTGGGAAAGGAGACCTTCAGAGCTGTGTTGGGGCAGTGCTGAGAGAGCTGTAGCTGGGGGAAGTGGAGTCAATTCCAACTTAACAAGTAATTCTGCACACACCCACACCCCCCTCATGAGGATATACACAGTGGCTGATTTAATATGCAAAGCCACGAGCTTAAATTTCAGCCACTTGTGAAAAATCATCAAGCGCAGAATCAATGTGTGTCCAAAATGCGATCCTGATTAAATGTATTGCTGCAACCTACTTTAGCACCATCAGAAAACAGCCACACATACAACAAAACCTAATTCAGGCATGAAAAAAAGATATTAGTGACTGTAGCAAGTGACCTTGATTGAAAAAATCTTAAAAATAAGTGGCTGGCCTACCATGCTAATTAGGAATTCAAAAATAAAAGGCACATTAGCAAAAATAAATCCAAAACCAAGAGTAAATTTAATTTCAGTCTTATCTGGACGAATTTCATCCAGCCAGCTTTCATCCATGTTCCAATTTCCATTGTGTGGGAACTACTAAATTACTTCTTGACATCAAAAGGCTTAAAAATAACTAATACAGTAAAAAGCCGATCTTCATTTATTCATTTAGAAAAAGCCCTTAATGAGTTCTTTTTTTCCTTAAAATCTCAGTTCTCTTCAGACCAATAAGATTCATTTTGTAATTCTAATTTTGTTTTAAACTGCTCTCTTCCCAATACGTTAGAACATGCTCACTGTATAAGTGAAATCTACAGTCATGTTTCCAGAGGTGAATGATGGCATTTGGCTAAAAACTATTTAAAGACTGTTAGTTAAAACTGTAGGATGAGTCTGCGTACTCTCCTTTTCAAACCTGAATGTTACTAAAATAAAGATGTAGTGGATTAAGTTTAGGCAACATCATTTTTATTAAAAGAATTCTAGCTATTCAGTCACCTCTTTTGAGAGCTGGAAGAAATAAATGGGAAGTTTTGTTCATAATTATCATCAGCATTTGTGATAGTGATAAACCAATAATCCCCATGTAATTTTTAGTAACTTTCAGTGAACATTTCTCTGAACAAAAATATTCTGCTTTGACTGGAAATACACAACAAATGTTGAACACAAAAATAGAGGTGAAGCATTAAAAAACAATCACAGAAATTTTTCTATGTTAGACTACTCATGTAAGTCTTAGAATGTTTTTAGGTAATATTCACAAAAAATACATCAGAAATACCACCAAGGTTGAAAACCTTCCTCAGCTTACAGAGAAGTTACCAGAAGCTTACTGCCAGAAACAGAGAAACTAGATTTCTCTAACAGTTTTACGCATTCACACCTGTTAACCCACCTAGAATCCACTATGTCCAAAGAAAAATGTATTTTCTGGGCAGTCAGAAATTTAAGCTTGTAGCATGTATTGATTCCAGTGAAGAAATCTGTCACTTCAGACAGAACTCTTTATTCCACCTAGCAGCTGATACTATCAGAAGACTATTCTTGGATTCAACACATCGTGCACATACTGACCTTCAGACCAACTCTAATTTTGTAGTTGCTGCTATAAGAAATGTTCTAAAAGAAACTGAAACAACAATTTTACAGCAATTTCTCTGCTTGAAGTTTCTTTGAGTTTTAATCGAGAACTTTTAAAATTACAGCTGGTGTTATAGATAAACCATGTGGAACAGTTATGGTGCTAGAGTAAATGACATAAACCAACCACATCAAGTTGAATGTTCTTGACATTTAATTACAAAGAAAAAAATTTTTACATGTATGTATTTTTTAAAATAAACAACTCCAGGGGATTCCTTGGCAGCAGAAAGCTTGCTAAGTGTGTTAGATTTAATTTACTTCTTAAAAACACACAATGACTGTAAAACATTTGTGGTCTGGAATGAAATTTTGAGAGATTAATATTAATATATACATAATCACCTGCTTATTTACAGCAAATTACTAGTACAGCAATACTCATGCAAACGTCATTAACATCTCTAGTTCCTTTGGAATACAACTTAACACAGTCAGTAGCCAGTTAGGTTTTCTTATTCTTAACAGCTAGAGGCTTAAAACAGTAAATGGTGACTTATGTACAATGAAATTCCACAGCACTAATTCTTTTTATAGACAATCTGTCACAGGAATATTAATTTGACCTATTAGCAGCTTACAGCTGATACCAATCTATTTTACTTGACTGCATGTTATGTAGCTCAGATCGCTGAACTGTTTTGTCCGATTTTTCTCTATTTTGAATTGAGATCCAACTTTATCAACCAAATTAAAATAAAATCTCAATGCTATTGTAATCTTGAAAGGTATTCCTCATTGCTGTAGTATTTGGAATTCAGGTTACACTCCCTACATTTGTAAATTGTCTCATTTCCTCTTCACTTAAGTTGCCTTGTATCAGTACAAAATAAAATTGTAACAAATCTAAGAGGGATAATCAACATGAAATAGCTTATTGATAATTCAAGTACAAATACTAGAACTTCAAGCAGTTACGATGCTTTCCAGATATGCCTTATAACTTAAATTAGGCCATAAATACAGATATGTTAGTAGTTTTTGAATACTTACTCTGGTTTCATATGCAATAAATAATTCTTGATTCTTATTAAAATATAATTTTAAATCCAATCATACTTTTATGATATTTGTTCTATCATGTTTCTGCACAGGCTGTTCAAAAGGCTGTTGACTACTAAGTCGAAATACCTTATTTTCATCACACACGTAGAAAAGCTTTTCTTGGTCAAATTACAGTACTATTATTTAGAAAAGAACTTTCTCAAAAAGCAGTACACCCTAACCTTCCAGAACATGAAAAGCTATTCATGCATTCTATGTAGTGCTTAGCAAGTACCTTTCACAGTTAGTCAAAGACTTAAAATGCACAGAGGTGCATTTCTTAACACATTAGTTCCTTCCTGAAGAGAATACACTAGACTACACAAATGATAGCTGCTTTTCTTCTGTGGTTGTGAGATGGTGACACAAAGATCCGGGTGAGGTATAGCAATTAAATTAATAAAGCCCAGTTTACAACGAATCTGAAGAGAAGCATCTTTTAGGTATCCCTTGAACCTGAAACACTGAGGTGCAAGGACTCTCCAACAGTTGTAAACATTTTCGTTCTAATCCAGCTGGATTTATTAAGACAGATTTAGCGTCAAGCATTATACAACAGAAACCAACAGAGAAGCTGTTACAATCACGAGAATAAAATGCAACAGAAACTTGATAAACGATAACGGGAAGAAATGCAAAAACAGTTAAGTAGACATAGCTTGTGACTGACTCTGTGAACTCAGAAATAGGCAATACTAAATACGTTTCAGAGCATACTTTTGCTGTACTTTCAAGCCTTATGATTGCTGGGAATTTGAGGAGACAAAGAGTTCCACACAAATCAAATGTGAAAACCAGCAAGAACAAAAAAGTCAAAATGGCAAAAATCATCTAATCCTCATCTAGATTTTAACAAGATCATTTCATGTTCTGATGTTTGGAAAGGGATGTTTCAATTTTTTTCAGTTGTGGAGAAAAGAAAGTTATAAGAAGGGCTGTGCTCCTACTTCTTTCTTGACAGTGAGGAACCTTGAACCAATGAGAAAACTATTTTTGCTGAATCAAGAAATCAGGAAGAAGATGTGCCAGTGCCTTTTGCTATCTTACACCTCTCCTTTGTGGAGGATCTTAATTTAAAAGTTTATAGAAGCTTACTATTAAGCAGGGAAAGGTCTGCTTATCTTGATTTAAAAATTAATCACACATGACAAATGACATGAGAAAATTATCAAGTGAAAATTAACATCAACTCTCTAAGTGCTGAAAGATTAGAGTTTTGGTTACATTTGTTAGATCTATTCCACTTAAGGTATACCTTATAATACCAAACTTGCATGATGGGTTAAAAATGACAACTTGTTTAAAAACAGGATATTGAAGAAGTTAAACAGCTTGAAATACATTTGAGTGTATATATCTAAATGAAAACATTTAAACAAATTAACAGAATTGACTATTTTAGGAAGAAAGCACAAACTTTTTCTGTATCTTGCAATGTTTATGATGTGTATGTCATCAATATATAAATGAAGGGAATTACAAAAGAAATTATTAAATTGAAAACTAAAAACGCAAGATAGCTAGCGTTGGACATAAAAATTGCAAATAGTCTCAGCATTTCATACACAATTTCCAAGGTCTTCTTCAAAACAAAGTCAATGGTTGTAGTTTAACAAAAATTACTACTAGCTACTTACATCATGTGTCAATTCAAAGTACTTCTGACACGCCAGCTGGTAATGCATGCCCTTCACCAATTCCAGGATCTACACAGAGGAAGAAAAAATGTAAAGAATCCAGAGGTAGCACACACATGCAACAGAGAACTTTGCATTTTGTTGATATTTACTACAACAGGGCAAATATCACCTTTCCCAACAGATGTGCATACTACTTCAAGTAACTTTGCAGCACGTATCATCTTTGACTTGTGTATTCTATTCTATTCTATTGTGTATTCTATTCTATTCTATTTGGTGGACGACAGGTTGGCCATGAGCCAGCAGTGTGCCCTTGTGGCCAAGAGGGCCAATGGCATCCTGGGATGCATTAAAAAGAGTGTGGCCAGCAGATCGAGGGAGGTGATCCTCCCCCTCTACTCTGCCCTGGTGAGGCCTCATCTGGAGTACTGCGTCCAGTTCTGGGCTCCCCAGCATAAAAAAGACAAGGATCTCTTGGAAAGAGTCCAGCGGAGGGCCACAAAGATGGTGAAGGGCCTGGAGCATCTCTCCTATGAAGAAAGGCTGAGTGATTGAACTAGGTCTGTTCAGCCTTGAGAAAAGGAGACTGAGAGGGGACCTGATCCAGGTCTATAAATATCTAAGGTGTGGGGGGCAGAATGGCAAGGACGGACTCTTTTCAGTGGTGAGTGGAGACAGGACAAGGGGAAACGGCACTTCTTCCATAGTAGCAGATGTAAATCTAGTAATTCAAGTGTTCAAAACACAAAACAATCAAGTACACTATTTGTATCTTTATTTTCCATACTACCAGTTCATACAGATGCAAAATAAAATAGTACAGTGCTTCCATCATCAAGAAAATTTAATTCAAACCCTTCAGACAAGTATCTCTGAGAGGGAAATGCTTCTAACCCTCAATCATATTTGTCCTTTTAAAATGAAGCTATTTCTGGCCAAGCTCAGCAGAATATGTGAGTGAATAGCCTGCTTTGAACACCTATTAGGAAAATCATGCCATCTTTTGTAAACACAATTTGCGTCCCAATTCTACTGCATGTAATCTCTTCTGTGCTGTACAAAGTCCCACTCTTATCAGCAGAACACAATATTGGCTGATTTTTTTTTCTTCCTTTTTTTTTTTTTTTTGTATGTGTTAAAGTTTCATCACCCCCTCCCTCCTTCATATAGTCAAAATATATGCTCTCCCTGCTTATCAAAATGAGAAGATTGCTGGAATTAAGAGATAACCTCAGTGGATAGAAAAGTAGTTTTCTAGAAATGTTAATTTCAAGTCCCTTTCCCAGGTTTGACCTTTGTGTCAAACACAGCAACGTACTCCAGCTTAAATCCCTGCTGTCCTCATTACTGGATGCCGCCTCATATTTATTGACAGATATATAAATAAATTACATTTGCTGAATGGATAAAAAAAAATGACAACACAGTGCCAAGAAAGTACTTAACCACATACTTTCTCTGTCATAGTCTAACTGATTACACTTCTATGCTTCCTGCAAATTCCTGTTAAATCTTCTGTAAGAGTTCAAGATCAAGGCCAAGTGGGCAATGAAGTCTGAAATTCAGCTCTCTGACATACATGCATATGTATGCACAGAAACATGCACACTTCGATTTTTTTATCTCTCTCCTTTGAAAATGACTGAAAAAATAGTGTTACATTAAGCAAATGGTTGAAGAAAACTATTCTAAATGCTTCAACTGTGCTCCGCCTTACATTTTTCTCTTTCTGTTACTAACAAAAAATATCTGTATTGTGCAAAAGAGCTATCTTAACTTTCAAATAAATGCTAACTACATTGTATTAAACACTAACAACATTGTATTGTTTACTTACATATATACACACACATGTATTACAGATAGATGCAACACATATATTCAAATAGGACAGAAACATTAAGCCAGCTTTCATTATTCCAAAAAGCCATTATGCCCTAACATGTTTTTCTCATAATTTGGAATACTGATCAGAAGACCTACGTGCCCATTGCTGGCTGAATGTTTTATTTTATTGCATTCAGATTTTTCTAAACCAATCTTTCCAGCTGGAAGAGTCAACTAACTCAATCTAGTTCATGAACACTTCAGGTTCTCTCAGATTTATTAATTTAACCAAGATTACACTTCAATATAAATAGTTCTAATCCTCAGCTGGAAAGGTATTCTAAGATTCAGAATCAAGTGAGCAAATAAAACCTTTCTAAAGCCTCAACAACTTCTGTGTATAAAACCCAAAAGTTTAAAAGCATCAAAATTCTCTTGTAATTTAGAGAACTTTCAGGAAAAGTTGATCAGTTAAAAAGTTAGTCATGCTGCAGTTTGTTCAACTTTTCAATTTCAGACTATGACACTATAGCTACTTTTTATATCAATGATGCCACTGTCCAACTATCCTTAAAAGCAGAAATGACAAGCATTACCAACAAAAGCCAGCGTTTGATTTACTAACTCACAGTGACTCGCAGGATGTAAGATCACTGCTGTCTTCTTGGATAACTTCAAGTGACAGCTATCACTGTCAAAGCACAGATGATGACAGAATAAAGGGGCACTTTTAATTTCCAGTTTTGTGGGAGAGATTATTCAGAACAAACTATATCATGCCCACTTATGCCCTTGATCCATCTATGAGAAAATCTTGACCCATCTTTACAGTGAAGAAGAATCAATACTGCTCACATACACATAACGTTATCAGAGCTCTCCTTGAGGAACTCAAATTTCTAAAGAAAAGCTTTATTATTTTGTAGCTGCTCAATCTTTCCAGCTTCTCTGCAGATCCGACAAGGAACACTTGTCCCATTTCCTCAAGAATCCTCAAACCTCCCTGAGGTGACTGCTGTGTCACCACACAGACAGTACAGACCAGGTACTTTCGTCCAATTTCCCCAAATAATGTATATGATTGCATCATTAACCACACATTGTACTAACATACTTATCCACAACTCCTTTCCCCTCTCCACCAAATCATCTCTCCAACTTTGGCTGCTGAGTCAATTTCAGCCAAATTTGTCAGACAGAGATGACAACACTACACAATTCCCACACAGTGATTAAAATCTGAGGCTGGACAAAAAAGTCTGACAAACTTTTGCAACCTATTCAGGGAAAAGCAGTTAAAATTCAGCTCCCATCCATTCTGAGAGGCATCCAGAAGGCAGACAAGCCATAAGCCTGATAATTAGCATATCAGTAACTTTATATTGGTCACCTCACATGGGAACAGATTCACTTTTCTGTATATGATGAAGTTGAGGAATGAGGGTTACCATAAATATATCCTAGGAAGAACAGGTTTAGCAGATTAACGGGCTTTAACGGGAGCAAGTTGCTGTGAGAGAAAAAGAAACAGTTAAAAAAGACAAGAGTGGAGCCCAGCTAGTGGTGGCACTGGTGATGAGGAGACAGTTGGACTAGATGATCTTGTAGGTCGTTTCCAACCTCGTGATTCTATGAAAGTATTCTGAGTGAGAGGAACAGTCTTCTATTTCAACAAAAAGGAATTATAATTCATAATAAAAATCACCATTCCTACTACATTTGCGCTGGTAACGAAAGCAAACTTGCAGCTGCTTTTCACTGGTGTTATCCAGAAAGAGTTCTCCTCTCAAAACTACCTTAATTACCCACAACAATCTTTTGCCTCCTCCTATACTCAGACATTTACACTAAATTGCTTTACTTTGCAAGGAAGGGTACATACTGAAGGACTCTTTTTGTTACTTCTTATGCGCCTTTCCTTTGCTACCATCTGCAACTTGCTTTTCTGATGTTGCTTTACTGACTACTAATTAGGTTAAGATGATGTTTGGCAGCTGCATGCAGCCACCTGCTTTATAGATCCTCAGCTTTTTCAGCTGAGATGCTGCCTAGCTGGATAGTTTGAGCTCTGCAATTATCCATAGTTATTTTCATTTATTCCAAGTTACTTTGTTTTATTTGACAGCTGCTAAACTACCTCAGATTTTCAAAACCAAATTCTGTTGTGGATTCAGTTAAGTACAACTTCTTTCTACCCTTCACTGTATTCCAAAGGTGGCTAAAGATACGACTGCTGATATGATTTCTGGCCACTTCAGCTTCAGTCCTGCCCCAAGAATCCATACTGCATTTCACGTCCTGATCAAAAAAGAAGTGGGGGGAGTGAGAGGGGAATGTCCTTACAAAATTGAAGCAATTAGTATACATTCTAAGTTTACAAAACAGTTTCAAGAATAAGGAGCTGAAACATTTTTGCTTCATATTGGTTGTTTTCCTGCTTTCTGATCTTTGTGTTTATGCCTTTGACTTTCTCTGTATCATCCTTCTTTCATTTGTTTTCTTCTGAATAAAAATTTTATGAGCAGTTTGAAATACTAAAAACTGAAGCTACTGAAGCTGCCGAAGTGTAAATACACAGATGGTAATTCTACCCACCCCCTATTCCTCCCAGTTCAGTACTAACGACAGACCGAAAGTGAACCCTCCCTCCTCACTTTCCCCAGGTTTCACTTACAGCTGGATATTCCTTTTCACCTATTTTACCATGTCGTCTTAAGGTCAGTATAAGGAAAGGAATGAAAACTCAACATGCAAGGACGAACAAAGGGTAGAACTGCCTTCCACAGTAGCAGCCCACCTTTAGTCTAAAAAAACTCACTGAACCCAAGTCTAACATTTGACTAATGAATGTAAATACTTCACATTGAATTTGCTTAAATTAATTCCTCTCTAGCAGTCTTGGGCACCCTGCTCTGGGTGTCCCTGCTTGAGCAGGGGTTGGACCAGGTGGAGCCACAGAGGTCTCCGTCCACCTCAGCCATTCTATGATTCAAGAACAGGCACTCTCAGTAGCAAACAGTTTCTATTCCATCCTTCTGGCAGTTAGAATACAAATTCAAATTTAAAATATATATATTTTCCAGTCCAACCATTACTAGCTTCCAACTTAACATCTATCTTAAGCACTTTAAACCACGTTCTACGCAAAATAAAATCCATGCATACTCTAAAAATATTCTGTATTCCCATAGCCTTTTAAGATCAAACAGATTAGCTATGCTCTTCACTATTCTGATAAA